TTTAATTTAATACTTATAATATAATATTTTGTATTCCTTACTCACCTTTTTTTTTTTTTTTCCATTCGAATATTCCATGAATAGAGGGATGATGCTTGGTTTTTTCTCTAAGCCAAGAGAAATTTATAATTTAACTTCAAAATATTTTTATTTATGTAAAAAAAAAAAGTGAAAGTGCGTTTGTTTTTTTAGCAATGCTAGGGGCACTCGCCTCTTGCACTCTGCGGCCAACACTTTCCCTTTTATTGGGCCACGTAAGCTTGTTTCAGGTTTGAAGTCTAACCTCTTACACATCAGAATGACATGGCCCAATAAAAGTGAAAGTGTTGGCCGGAGAGTGCAGGAGGCGAGTGCCCCTAGCACTCCTCTTGTTTTTTCTTTTTTTTCCCGAAAGAAAATGCATTTTTTTAAAAACGTGTAGACGACACCAAGACGACATTTCTAATCAACACAACTAATCAATCACAACAAAGTTGCTTTTTTTTTTTTTATCTGACAAAGTTACTTTCTTTTGAGAAAGAAAGAGTGACAAAGTCACTAAAGATAACATTTCTATTCAACATTTCTAGTCAACCATTAATAAAGCTGCTTTGAGAAAGAGAGAAGGAAAGAGACAGAAAGGGTAATTATTTTCAGCTAGTGGTGGACGTTTTTAACCATAACCGTAATAAAAAAAAATGAAAGGGAAAAAAAAACCTCCAACTGTCCGATTCTGAAACCCATTTGACGGTTCTTTTTTTTTTTGTGTGAAAAAATCCGTTTCTAGTTTCTACCCAAAAAAAGCTTCAGGTTTGGTTACTTATAACCGAATGCCCTGTACGGGGTTTCTCGATTTTTAAGTCCAAAAATTGAGAACCAATGGACTAAGCCCAATGAAACAGAAAATTGCTGGGCCATTTTTCCCTCCCTTTTTGTGTTTGCAGGCTTCATTCCTTTCCAGCGCCAACATTTTGCATTTGGGGCTTTCCCAGCTAAATGTATTTGGAATTGTTATGGGATGCTATAACTGTAATTGAAATTATAGTT